CTCAAGTGGCTTCTGACTCTTGCAGTCATGTTGGCTCCTGAGCCTCTCACCTCATTCTTGCCCTTTGGCCTCTCTCTGGTCACACCAGGTCCTGTAAACAAAACCTTCTACACAGCTTCCCATCTACCCACCCACCTGCACCGGGCCCCAGGGCAAGTCTTCATTGGCTTTCTAAGGCAGTAGGTCTCATGCTTGAGTCTGTACCAGAAAGTGCGGGAAGCCTCACTAAAACAGATCGCCAGCCCCGCTCCCACAGCTTCTGATTCTGGAAGTCTGGGAAGGGGCCTGAGAGTCCGCATTTCTACTGAGTTCCCAGGCGCTGCTGTGCACCCTCCCCAGTCTGAGTGAAGCCCCACTTGGAGAACCACTGCTCCAGACTGTAACAGCCGCTCAAATCTCCTCATTCCCCACCTTAACCCAGCATTTCCCAAACTTCAGTCCTTGGCACCCTCCCCTCCCAATGTTGTCCAGCTTCACCATCTACTTGTATTAGCACATATTTTGTATTTTTGGTCAAGTTGGCCCAGTCTGAGGATTCAAAGAAATTTACTTATAAGGGATAACTTTCCATCACCACCATTTGAGAACTTGATCATTTCCACCTTGAACAGAAACCTGAATAGAATTAAACACAATGAAAACAGAACCAAGCGAGGACCTCCCAGCTGGGCCCTGAAACTAGGCAGAGACTTTGTTGTAGAAAGTGCTCTCTTTGTTGTGAGGGAGCCGGGGGTGGGGTGCAGGAGAAGCATTAGGGACTGACCGTACCACCTGAAACGCTGGCCTTGCTGTAGGCAGAGGCAGGAAGGAACAGCTTCTGGATTGGTGAGCTTTGCTGCTGGGTCTGTGCTGCCACTCAGTCACCTATGAGCCCAGCAGGGAAGGGCTCCCCACAATTCGGGGGCCACTGCTCATTCCACAGTGACCTGTTCTCAAGCAAAAACACCACCCTGTTACACTCCTATGCCCCGCAGCCCGTAGCAGGGAAGCCAAACTCAGTACAGTCACCCCATCTGCACGGCAGACCCTTGTTCTTCCTGCATCTGACCCTTAAGCTCCCCCCACACAGGACTTTCTTGCCTTTCTCCACTGAGTGCCAGGCCCCTTCCTACCTCTGGGCCTTTGCACACACACATGGTGCCTCCGCTTTGTGCACCCTCACCAACGCCCCACCCCCATCCCCTTTCCCTGCCAGAGAATGCTGCCTCTTTGCCCTAGGAAGATTCCTCAGGCTCTTCTCAAGTCAGTCCCAGCGGACGCCAGCTGGATGCCAGCAGCCACTCCTAGAGAGCTCCGGGTGGGTTTTGTCCAACCCCAGAGAACTTGTTGGGGCCAGGGTCAATTCCAGGGCCACTGGACGGCGAGTGAAACAGAAACTCGATTCTTTTTCCTGCTGAGATGGTGTCACTCTGCGCTCATAATGGGGCACATTCCAGAAAATCAGACTGAAATGTTTCATAATTTATAATATTTTTTAAATGATGGCCCAGGAGTTGCATAATCCTCTCCTTTTCCCCCTGAACCTGTGGTTCTGTCTGAGCTGACATAGCACTTGAGACAGCTTCAGGCTGAACCACGAGAAACTGTCCTCACAACCTTGAAAGAGGGGTGTCTGCCTGTGAGTGCCCACAGTCGCACAGACGGGGGTACAAAGCACAGCTCCCCCAGGGCAATGTCTCAGACAGGATTCTGTCAGTTGCTGCTGTGACCCTGGGTGGAATGCCAACACCTCCCCCCAAACACTCAGATGCCAGATTTCCCTGCGTGCATGGCAGAGGGCCTTGGCCAATTCTGCAATGAGATGACCCGACTTGATGCTTCTTTAAGGAGGAAGTCAAGAGAAGAGCACACGGTTCCTTAATACCTTAATGTGACCTGGTAATTCTACTCCTGGTACAGACCCAAAATGTGTACACAAATGTTAATGGCAGCATTATTCACAATAGCCAGAATGCGGAAACATCCAAACTTCCATCAAGGGAAGAATGGATAAGTGAAATGTGGTCCATCCACACAACAGAATATTACAGAACCATCAAAAGGAATGAAGCACTGACACACGCTACAACACGGATGAACCTGGCAAACATTGCACCAAATGGAAGAAGCCGGTGCAAAAGGCCATATATGTATGATTCTGTTCTTATGAAGTGTCAAGAATAGTGAATCCATAGAGACAGAAGGTGGATTCATAGTTGCCAGAGGCTGGGGGAGGAGAAAAAGGAGAGTGACTTACAACGGGGCTGGAGCTTCCTTTTGGGAGGATGAAACGTCCTGGACTTAGATGGTGGTGACGGGTGCATAACACTGTGAATGTGCTAAACACCACTGAACTGTACACGTTTAAATGGTTAAAATGATCAGTGTTATGTTAATGCATATTTTACCACAGAAAACCTTTTTTATCCAAGAAAAAAACGGGGGCCATGGCCGGCCCTACCCACCACCCAACCCTCCCTGGCCCAGAACAGAGTGTGCCCCATCTAGGACCTTACGAGGGGCCCTGAACAGCCACCCCATGAAGGCCTGAGAAGCAGTCAGCTCAATGAACTGAAAAGGAAACAAAATGGTGCCTGTGTTGTAGTTTCCTTTCTTGACAAGCCATCAGCCCCTTTGAGTGATGCTGGGTTTGCACATCTGGGACTGATCAAAAACCAGTGAGTTTGCAAAAGAAAAAAGAGGGGGAAAAAAGCCTCCTAGGTCGGGAGTAAGCAGACACAGAGGCACCTCCCCTACGTAGTAAATTACACTGGTGACAGGGAAGAGAAATGTTCCAGCTCCCACAAGGCTGAAGAGGTCAGTGTTGGGGGTCCTGCCTCCGAAAGCCAGTTTTGAAATGCAACTGACTAAAGGCAACTGACTTAAGGCCAGACACCCAACAGCCAACGTGGGGTCTTTGCGGGAGATGAAGTGTGGGGTCCCTCAGAGGCCCCGTGCTCTTCTGCAGGGGCTCCGTTCCTGCCCCCAGCCAGCCAGCCCTCTCTCCAGGCTGCAAGCAGGGTTTTGGGAGCCAGCATTAGCCTGGGTCCTGGGCCAGGGCTCCCTGCCTTAATACCACTACCTGCCGGCAGAGTGGAGCCCAAGCCCCCGGTCAGTGCCTCCCCTTTCCAGATCCACCCCTAACCCAGGCCAGGGACCTAGATTCCCATGTGGTATGAGACGAGTAGCAAGCTCTGCCGTGACAGTTAAGTGGCTTGCCATTGCATGAGCACTTTCTTCCAGGATCTGGGACAGGACCCTGCCAGGAGGGCAGCTCTCCCCGGCCCTGGCTGTCATGCCGGGTACATGCCTTCATCACTCCAAGCCTCAAATTTCCTCCTTGTAAAAAGAAGGACGGGCTAGTACCCGTCCCATAAAAAACGTCAGTGAAGTCATCCATGTAAAACCCTGGGCATCACTGCCCGTAGGAAGTGCTGGGTAAATGTCAGGCTGGTGTGATTATAAATGTTATTATTACTATCCCAACCCCTACATCTTAAGAGACTCTGTAAAAATGAAACGGGCCCTATTTACCCTCGTCCCAGGGTACACGGTCCGGGACTTGGGGCTTGGGATCAACTCAGTGGACAGCAGTTTTACCCGGAGCCCCTCTCAGACAAAACAACACCTTGCGCAAAGGTCAGTTCCAGAGGTGAAGTTAGTATTTGTCAGAGAATTGTCTAAAGGGCTTAGCGGTTAAATGCAGGGTCTGCAGCCAGACAGACCGGGGGTGACAGCATGGCACACCAGTTAGGGGGCCTTGACATGCACGTCACCTCTTTGAAATGGGGATCAAGAGGCCTGCTGCCCAGGTGTGTTTTAGGGATAATAATGTAGGTAAAGTGCATGGCAGAGGCCTCATACCTGCCATACCAGCAGTACAACTCCCACAATTTCTGCTCTTCCCCCATGTAGAAACAGCCAGAATTAGAAGCAGAAAAGCAGGTGCACAAAACACAAAGAACCCTTGGAACGTCTCTTCTCAGTCTATTTGGGAAAGGGGGCTGCCCCTCGTCTTTTTCCACAGGACCCTAGTCTTTCACCTGTCAGACTCTAGACCCTAAATGCCCTGACTCAGCTGGGAACAGCAGCCCACCCTATTCTGACAGAATAATGGGCCGAAATGCTCACAGTGAAAACTCAGAAACCTATTCTAGGTTGCAAGGCAAGCCGGGCATTTGCACAGGCCTCCAGCTGCTTCTCTTGAGCAGCAACTCACCTTTTGGCTAAAAGATGTCCAATTCAGGACAGACTTCAATCAGCAAGTATCAGCTAAGCTCTTTCCAGCCTGTCCACCCTCCTAGCACTTGGCAAGGGAGATTCTGGGTCTGCCCCATACAAGGGCAGCCCATCTCGCCAGGACTGCAGAACCAAGCCCTCAGCTCCCAGCACAACTCTTTCCACACAAGGAATTTATACAGATGTCCACTCTGGTTGAAGATACCAGGAACATATTCCCGAACCTTTAAGAACGCTGGTGCCCCAAGCCTGGACAAATCCCTGGCCATCTGGAGGTTTGGAGACAGACAGAGCTGGGTCCAGCCCGAGTTCTGCCTGGACAACTCACTTCACCTGCCTAACTCCCAGTGTCTTCATCTGAAATATGGGAAGAGGAAGGCTACCTTACAGGTTTGTTGCAAATGAACCACCATCCACATGCGGGTAGACACATTGAAACTCATGCCACATCCACACAACAGACGCTAGCAAACTGCACAGGAAGGCAAAAGTACACAGCCTCCAAGAGCACGGATCTGCAGTCAGACTGGCTTTGAGTCCCGGCACCCTTCCTCCCTTGCTGTGGTCCTGAGCAATTCACTTGCCCTCGATGAGCCTCAGTTTCTCCAGCTGTGAATTGGTCAGCCGCTGAGCCAGGTTCTGAGGAGCAGGTAGCTCTCGGTTTAGTGCTTGCACACAGTAAGCCCTAAGAGCTGGCATCAGCCCTGGTTACTTCAACTCCTCGGAGATTACGGGAAAGGATCAAAGCTCGGAGAGAGTAAAGGAATCTAAGTCACACTTACAGAGCTCCAATCACCAGCTCGCTGGTGTCTCCCGCGTTGTGCAGCGGTGGCGGCGGTGGCAACGGCAGCGCGAGCTCAGTGGGACAGGACGATCGCAGGACACAAGACAACCGTGCCGCCCAAGGAAGCAGTGGATCCCGGGGCTTGGTGCGCCTCTTCTTGTACGCTCCCCCCTCAGCCCAGAGGCCACGCCCCCCCGGGGCCGGCGGAGCTGATAGGGCCGCTCAGTCAAGGCCCTCGTTCCGCCCCGCCCCTCAGGACCCGCCCCTCTCAGGCTCGCCCCTCCCTGCCCCGGTCTGCGAGCCCCGCGAGCGGCCAGGACCACCCGCTTCCTACTGACTCAGTTTGAGCAGAAGACGCACTCAGTTTCCTCATCGTGACCATAAAAGTATCAGTTCCATTGAGCGCTTACTAGGCAAGTAGCGTGGTGCCAAGTACTTTCCACCAGGGGTTTGCAAACTTAGCAAACACCCTGTCTCTCTGAGGTTCAACTGGAAAATGGGAATAGGGAGGTGTCCTCCGGGGATTGAAGGAAATAAAATCGGGAAGGGAGTGTGGGCTAAGTAAACTGTGGCACAGAATACGCACTTGCTAAATTTATTTTCACCCTCGGCACATGGGTAGAAAACTTCACTCTTGTCACCTGACTTAATCTCTCCCCTTCCTCTTCCTCCTCTTCCTCCTCCTCCTCCTTCTGCTTCTTCTCCTCTTTCTCTTTCCCCTCCCTTTCTCTCCCCCTCCTTTCCTCCCTCTTTTTCTTTTCCCAATGTGCAAATGAAGAAATGAAGACTAGGAGATGATACTGGATGAGGGCCGTAAAACCCCCCAGGATCCAGGCTAAGTGTCTTTACCTTCACCATCCAATCCAATGAGATGGAAATAATCCCATTTCACAGACTGGAGAACTAAGGCCTGTAGAAGAGAGTCCCCATAGCCAGTGGGCAGCAGCAGAGGTTCAAACCTTGCTTTTACTACATTTTGCCCGCAGGCATTTAGCATCCACGACAAATCAATTAAGAGCCAGAAAAAATAGCCTTTGAAACATGTAAGCCCAAGGACCATGTCGGTAGGTGAAGAAACCAAGGCTGGAGGAGCTAAAGGACTCCCTGTGCTCCCCATCCAATCACATAATGTGGACCTACTATGTGCCTGCACTTGCAGGAGGAGCCTGTCTTCCCACTGCATGAAGACATAGGAGTCAGCTCATTCATCCCTTATTCCTTCACACACTCCCACTGAATCACTCTGCATCAGACCCTGTGCTATGCAGTGGTGAGCAGGCTGGGACAAGCCCCCTCTGGGATCTCAGGGCCTGGGATACCCAGACCCGTAAGAACACAGGAGGGAATAAAGATGGAGAAGCCATAGGGCAGGGGTGAGAGAAGATGATCCCTCAGTGGAGTGGAGCATGGATTCAGAAAGCCAGAAACTCTTTCCCAAGATTTTGGTGCAGCTCAACTGTAGACATTCTCTTTTACCTTTTTTCATTTATTTTGCTTTTCTCTCCTCTCTGTTTTTGAAGTATCATTCTCAGCTCAACATTCATTCATGTTCAATATTATTAAGCACCTATGTAGTGGGCTCTGTTCCAAGCACAGAGGTATTCAAAGGTGAACCAATTTGTTCCAGAACAACAGTCCTCACTTTGACAAAGGACAAACCCAAATGGAGAAGACTTGTAATTATTAACAGATGCCTCTCGGGTACCCAGCCTCACACGCATCATCCTGTTCACCTGCCATAATCCTCTGGGACTGATGCTGTAACCATTAGGAAACAGGGCAGAGAGAGTGTAAGTAGCTTTCTCCAGGCCACACAGCTCCTGAGTGGAGGAACTGGGATTTGAACTCATGCTCTTGCCCACTCAGCGGCCACCACCTTGTGTACCATTACACCTTGGGTACAGTGGAATAAACTGGGTGCCCAGCCTGGCAGAGGGGAAGGAAAGCTGCACAGGAAGGAATTTCTCCTGGCCCAGCATGTGAGTGGGGGTGGCCGTGGTTAACATTAAAACACTCACAGCTCTAACTCAGAACTCCACCTCCTTAATGATGCTTTTTATGGCAACTCTTGAGGCTCCTTGCTGATCCAGGATAGCTCTGCGGACACTCTTCCGAGCCCAAGCATTCCAGGGGCATCGTTGGCAGAGCTGCCACTTGAGGGCACCTTAACAATGTCATTCCCCATCCGGGCTCCCAACTACTGTCTGGCCTGGCAGCCACTGCCCCAGCACCCTGCACACAACAGAAACTCCCAAACCCTCACCCTCTCTTCTCCCTCAGTTTCTCCTTTCCTTCCATCTGTGCTTTTCTCCTCACCTGCCCCACTGCTTCTTGTCTACCTCACTGAGCCTCCCTTGCCTGGCATCTGTGTCCCACCCCCCTGCCTGCTGACTTCCAGCAAACACGTACAGGTGCCAGGTGCTGTACCTCAGGCTTCACTGGCATCAGCCTGTGAACCTCCCAGGGAACCCAATGAGGGAAGGGGCTATTGTTGACCTTGTTTCACAGATGGGGAAACTGAGGCTCAGGTAAGTGAAAGTACTTGTCCGGGGTCACTCAGCTACTAAGCGATGGGGCTGAGACTCCAACTCAGGCAGTCCAAGCCCAGAGCTTATGACCTTGGTCTCTAAACCAGCTGACCAGAAGGGATTAGGGAGTTCAGCTTTGCCACAATGTGAACCCATTGGGCATTTCTGAGCTATTTCATATTTCTCTTCAGTAGCCCAGTTCGGCTAACATTTCTCAAATGGAATGTTACAGTTACTAACTACTGTGTAAGACAGTATCCCAAAACACAGTGGCTTCAACCAACCACTCTATTTTGCTCATAATTTTGTAGGTCAGGCATCTGCAACAGGTCCAGTTGGATGGTTCCTCCCTGGGGGTCTGTCACGTGGATACAGTCAGATGTTGGCTGGGGCTGCAGACATCTGTAGGCTGGACTGAGCCGGACATCCAAGCGGGTTCACCCACGTGGTGGGAGCTCTCTGGGGCTGTTGGCTCAAGAGCCTCCACGTGGCCTTTCAAGGAAGACAGTTTCAGGGCAGCCAGACTTGTTATTTCCCCCAGAGCAGGCCTCCCAAAAGAACAGGCAGAAGGTGCATGACCTTTTATAGACTGTCATTGGAAGTCATGGAGCATCACTCTGCCATACTCTTGGTCAAATCACAGAGTCTACCTAGGGTCAAGGAGAGAGGACATGGAGCACACTTCTCAACAGTGGAGACCAAAGAATTTGCAGACAAGATATGTAAAAACACATAGGTCAGTGTCTGGTACTGAGTACTCAGTAGAAAACAATTTGTCCTTCATAGGTGGCTAAGTTACCCCAGTGGAAGGAGAACCCCGTTTGCATCTAGGCAGGTGAGTTTGAATCCTAAGGCCACCAGGCACCAGCTGTGTGTCTTTGTTCAGTGACCTGACCTCTCTGAGCTACGACTGCCTCCCGGGCTGGACCACCCAAGGGAGAGACTGAGCCAGCGGCTTGCTGGTTGGTGCCATTGCCTGGAACCAGTCAGGCGGGATTCCAGTCCTGGCTCCTCCGCTCCCAAGCTGTTGGCCTTCTGTTCCGCTCCCCATCCATAACATGGAAGTGAGGACAGTGGCCTCTCTCTCCCCTGGGGCAGAAAAAATAGTAATAGTTTTACTATTATTAAAATAGTAAGTGGTTAATATATATGAAATAATTAGAATAATACTTGCACATAGCAAGTATTAGTGAATATTATTGCTAGTAGAGACAACAGACAGAAAAGCTTAACTTTGATCAACTTTTCCATCATTGTGTAATCTCAGATTTCCAAAACTTTTCCAAGAATTAACACTTGACTTTGAATAAGATGGTGTGTCGTGGGCAACATCGGCTTCTGGGAGGTCCTGGATAGGAAAGGACCAAGATGGAGCCAGAGTCCTTGTGGGAAGGCACCGGCCATGATATACTTAGAAATCCCAGCAAAGGACCCTGTTGGATACCCAGGCAGAAGTTAAGTAATGGAGAGTTTGAGACAAAGGAAAAGGTCCTTCTGAAGAACGTTAATGAAGCCCAACCTGAACAATGGAACTCATGGGCCTGGTCACTATATCCTGGAGACGCTCCACACCTCTGCCCAACTGCTCTCTCGGGGCCGAGGCGGGCTGACAGCAGGACCACACACGAGTGCAGAATGGTGCGGTGGCACCAGCTGGTCTGAAGGTCTAATCATTCAAAGCAAAGACCAAGGTCTTTCTTTCCTATCTCAATGTGGTTGTCATAGGGCTGATGGGTCTTGAACTCACACCACTTGTTTTCATTGGAGTCTTGAGCTGGATGGACATCAAGAGCCAAGGCCGGGGAGTTTCAGCTTCTCGATTGCTCCTGACACACCCATTCAGCAGCTGCAGAATGTCACTAAGACTCAAATCAGCATTAAAGACCACTAACAATTTGAGCCAAGGAGACATGGGGACACCATTTCGTGATGGGCATGGCTTAGAAAGAACCAAAAGGAAAAGAAAGATGGTGACAACTCTGAGTTGACAGATGCCAACCCGTGTGGTCCTTCAGGGTCTCAGTGGGATGGATTTGCTTAACTTATTGGAAAGGAAGGGTATAAGGGTTGAGACAGGATAGTAAGAAGCTAGGAAAATTCCTTGGCAAGTGGAGTAGAAAAACTGAGACAGATAGGCGAACCGCTGGCCGAGCAGTTTACAGCCAGGTGGCAGATGGTCACCAGGCGGAAGGCGCGGAGAGCCTGACAGCGGGGGAAATGCGGAAAACAAAGGCCGCACCCCCAGGGTAACCTTTTCTCCTGTGGCCTTTCCTTCCTTGAGGTAACATCTAGGCCTCAGCTGTATCTCAGCTCCAGGCTCAGAAAAGCAGCAAAACCAAGTGGGTAAAGCCAGAACCAATTGCAATGATTAAAAAAAAAAACCCTTTCCTGTCACTGACCAATCAGTGGAGACCACAACCCTGAAAGGGCACACCTGGAAAAATGAGGCAACCCTCCCCTGAGACCTCCTCTAACATTCCTGCCCACAGAGAGAAAAGCCTCAAGACAAAGGACACAGCTCTCGTGCTCTCCGTCTGGGAGCAGCTGCCATTCCCTTTCCCTTCTTCTCCCCCCACTTCCTTCCCCACAGGCACAT